ATTTAACAATATGTTTTGAACAAGGAATTTCAACCAATATTTGTTACCTCCCTCCAATACCTGTCTTGTACTATGCCTCTGCTCAACTTCCATTCCCCAGAAAATCACATTATATAAACTTGTACCAATACAAGAAGGACAAATTTTGATGGCGGCTACTGCATATGAAATTGTTAAAGACTTTAGCTTCAAGTATGGTATATCAATTGTTGCTAGAAGTGGGAGGAAGGGAACCCTCATGCATTCAAATCACAGACAGGGGGTCAAATGGCCAGCCCAAAATCCTTCTCCACAATTGCCACAATAAACTCTTTTACTATATGTTGCTTTTTATCACATGACCCATGGTTTCATTTTGTTTAAACTTGGCAACTTTAAGATGTGTGGACTTTAACTCCCAGAATTCCCCAGCAAGCATGCTGGCTGGGGAATTCTGGGAGTTGAAGTCCATACATCTTAAAGTTTGAAAAAACTGATTTAGGACAACACATCTGATTCTCTCTGTTCTAAGATTTGCTCTACTTTCCTTGATTGGGCATCAAAAAGCAACCTTCTCTTTTTTTTCAATCTACCATCCCTCAATATGGGAAATATTGAAGAGATATATCTTCCATTTTAATTCTACTGAACAGGACTCAGAAGAACCAACATTATAAAAATAAAGGATGTTTTCCTTGCACTTAAACTTAAAATCTTCTCCTTTGGCCCAACTTCCAGGTTGATATGAGGCAAAGTAAAATGAGATACCTTTGCAGGGGACTCTGCTGTATAGTGAAGATTTCATCATTTTGGACTTGGTCTTTCAAGAAATAGAGCAACTTAAATCCTGCCTAGTACAGACTTGCTTTTTAATGTCAGTGGAAAAACAAAGTGCCACAGATATAAAGAAGCAAAAACAAATCACACATTCCCTGCTAATTCTCTTTAACCGTTTCAAGGAAATGGGGTGAAGTAGAGCCCTTCTACATAGGCCTGATGGATTTATATGTTCTCCCTCTGCTAGTATGTTACCAAGCAAAACCTCTTTAAACTCTTAAGAAGAAATATATATGCGTACACAATCAAATTTTAGGGAACTGTACCACAGGTGATTATGTAAATAACCATAGAAGAATGGTGCAGAGAGACCACCTAGAAGTAAATCTAATTTGTTAAAAATGACAAATATAGACTAGAGCTGTTGCAAATGTCAGCCATGCTACTTCTTCAAGTGGTACAAATGACATAAAAGAAATATGCAAGATTCTTAAACTCTGCATAAGAGGTGGAATGGAAAAGATGCTGCAGAATTCTGTTGAACAAAGATGGCTATTATATTTTCAGTCACTTCAAGACAGAAAGGTAACCTAATCACAGCAAAACTTTAAATATAAGTAAGCCACAACTATTACTGAGGCCGGTTCATCTAGATCCAGTGGAAGAAGCCACGTTATCTCTTGTGCATCTTATTATCAGAACACAATCCAGTGTGAGGATCTTTGCTAAGTTGGAACCAAATGAGTCTTTATCCACACCACACCTCTGCAATAGTTACATATAATCTATTAAGACACACAAATATGCTAGTTACATTCAAATATACTTGACGAGTTTTACCTATCATTAATTTTAGATGAGGCTTCTCATAGAATTTCTTGACCTGACACCTTCCAGGTTTCTGGGATTGCCATTTCTACAATCCCCAGCCAACGTGGGTAAAAATCTTGCTGGTTTGGAGATAATAGGAACTGAAGTCTAACAATCTGAAAGGCCATTATCAGGGAAAGCTATTTTAAAGAAAATGTTGCATTGCTGTATCTATACAAATTAGAGATGAGCAAGAAGTTTTCGATGGCCTCAGAAATAGTTTGGGCTCACTGAATTAATGTTATAAATCTCTGCAAATGACTGAACCAGAAAATTCCCTCATCTAGTCTCAATATGTTTTCTAACAATGCTCCCTCAAATTTCAAGGAATTGTTTTCTTCCCAAGCTTTGCAAGCTGAAAGCCTTTCAACTGGAAGATGCTGAGGACTGAATATAATGCATATTCCATGCAAAGCATATGGCTTATCACTGAGCTCTAGGTAATTGTACATGGTAGACTTGACCAAAGCTTTAAAAACTGTATAGTTGAGTAGCAAACCAACCTCCTTAGAAGCCTTTCCCCAATTTTCCAGGAAGAACCTGCTGCTGGAATCCAATAATTTCTTGATTTCAGAAACCATTATTCCCTACTATAAGCCACATAGCCAATGTTAAATATGGGTAATAGGGAAAACAACTAGTCCCTAATAATTTAACAGTTCAAACTTCCTTAAGCTTATGAATACAATTGCCAGAAACTCCCACTAGTTCACTCAAACTTGTAATATTTTCAGTCACAATAATTGCAGATCACACAACAGAAATTCACTTAAAAGGGATGATACACATTACTAGTGCAAGATGAACTTTAATCTCTGTATTGCCAAATTATTCAAATTCTACCATTATAGATAAAAGTTATAGGCAGCATGATTTCCAGCCTGCTTCTAAAAAAACACTTCTATTATTTTGAAAAGTCAGTGGCCAATGTCAAAATTATTTTTTCCATTTTTTTCAATTGGGAAAAATGGAAGATTAATTGTTTTGGGTCATAATATTAACCTAATTTGCTTGGTGATGACTCCAAAAGATTCCCGCTTCCTCAGTGATTTTCCTCATTGCATACAGGTATTTTATTTTGATCACCTTAATCCAAATTCAAAACGAAAAGCAGAATTTGAGCTATAACAATTCTTGACATTCAAACATGCCCAGAACAGTAAAATGCTTAAAATATTTTTTTCTAACAATCCTCACAACAATCCCACAACATTTTGGACATATAACATATTGTCACCTGTCTATTGCAGACCTAAGAATGAAAAACCAGGCTAGACCACAAACATACAGATTCAGAACTTTGTTAAAACTGTGTCTGTTTATCTGATTAAATTCCAGCACAGTGCTGTGAAAGTTGTACTCTAGAAGTCTGGGTATGCTCAGATAAAGTAACCTTAAAAGTTTTAAACAGAATTTAAAATAAAGGGCTGATGACTTCTCAGTCTGTTGCAGAGAGGAAACGCATTGCAGCTTTGCAGATAATGGGACTGGGGACCTATTGTAAAGTTGAAAATTAAATGGAATAAATCTACCATCCAGAGACTCTCCTTGAAAAGAACTACAAATCTGGCTCAAAATGTCCCAAATAGTAAACACTGCAAGATATGCTGCAAGGGGCTAAAAGAAAACATGTCTAAGAAAATAACAGGAGAATGCAAGTAATTGTTTGGGGAAAAATCTGTTAAAACAAGATCTTGGTTGCTTGCTTGCTTCTTTCCTTCAAAATCCAATCGTCTCAGTGCAATAAATAGGACCATTTTGAAGATCTCAGCCTAGCTGAATTTAATTCAGTGATGCATACCTCCAGGGACTTAAAAAAAGTTATGACAATCTTCATGGGCTGGGCATCAACAACTCAGATTTCAGTTTGGATGTTTGTAACCAGGAGATGGAAATCAGCTAAGCCTGTTCACATGCTCATGGTTCTAGAAGTTACAGCGCTGTGCTGTCTTGTGGAATGCAGTTGCTGGAGTGAGAACAATGCTGGTGGTAGAAACTGAAGCTCAAGACTGAGAAATAAAGACATTGTACAACTGTCAGGGACGCGTGGGTTAATGCTAAGAGATACAAGATTATTAAACTTAGAAGGTCGTAACTTGAGATTTGAGTAGCTTACCTACTTGTGTTATAACATGGTGAAGGCCAGTGTGGATTTTAGAAATCATTATATTCGGCGTGCCATCCTAAGAATTTGGAATAAATATAAATCCAGAATATGGCCCAAGCTACCTCTGTGGTTATATTTACAAGACGCTTATCACAGAAAAGAGATGACGGGTAATTATAATTGGATAAGATATAAGGATTTGTTGGAATATCATCAAGGGGATATTAGATTGAAAACTAGAGAAGATCTGACCTCGCAAGGCTTCAAGTGCCATTGGTTTTGATATATACAACTATCAGAAAGATTTAAAGTTGACAAGAAATTATATGAATTTGAAAGGGATAAAACTATATTTTAAACTGAATTATGTTGAAATGATGACCATCTCATAACTAAAATGTATAAATTACGGTTAACATTGGAAACGGAAGAGGAACTGGTAAAAGATTGTATGATAAAATGGACAAAGAAATTCCAATATAACATCCAAACTGAACAATGGGAAAATATGTTAAAGGGTCTTAAATTTACAGTACGTTATAATCTTAAAGAAAATTTCTATAAGATGATGTATAGATGGTATTTGACACCAGATAAACTCTCTAAAATGTATAAAGGAATATCAGATATCTGCTGGAAATGTAAAAGACAGGAAGGGACCTTTTACCACCTTTGGTGGTCCTGTAAAAAAGTTAAAAAATAGTAGATGGACATACATATAGCTATTCGGAATGTTTTGAAAACGGACATTCAATTGAGACCAGAAATCTTTTTATTAGGGATGACGGACATACATTTAGAAAAAGCATATGGTACTCTACTTCTCTCTATGACAATGGCCACAAGACTGCTCCTGGCTCAACATTGGAAAAACCAGGCACTACCTACAGTTGAGGAGCGGTTAGTCAAGCTGTCAGAATTAGCAGGAATGGCAAAACTGACGGCGATTATAAAAGAAAAAACATTGACAACATTTAAGAAAGACTGGAAGCCATTCATTGTCTTTTTGCATGAAACTGAACATAGTCAAATTGTGACATATGGTTCCGATGATTAGTTATAACTACAGACTATTGGGAAAGGTAGAAGCTATAATATAAACAAGGGTTGTATGAAAGGTTTTTTGTATATATCCTTTGCAAAAGAAGTCAGAAGTCGCTTTGTCAAATGTCTTTATATGTATTTTTTCTTCTGTTTTTTTCTTCTATTTTCTATTCTGCATTTCTACTACTTTTTTCCTTTTGCAATTCTTCTATTTCTCATACCTTCACTGTAATCTTTTTTTCTTTCGTCTCTTAATTTGTATATTATGAAAAATAAAAATAATTGGGATAACAGGGACACAGTGGGAGTGGGGTGAGGGGAGACAGAGGGGAGCTGTGTTCTGAAAAGCTGCTTATAGCTGCTTCCAGACACAGCAATAATTTAAGTATCAAGGGATTTAGACTGGAAGCATATTCCTGTGGGTATTGTAACTGCTGAAATGAGCTGCAGGATTTCATGAGTAACTTTCAGTTCATGTACAACCATCCACACTTATCCACCCAAGTTTCAAAACCCCAGAGACTGAAAGAGTGATCCCTAGGATGTCAAAAAAAATGCCATCAGGTCATAAGAGATTTGGCTCTTTTGCAATAAGTATCAATGGCAAAGTGAAGTAACATTAGGAAAACTTTTGAAATATAAAAATATAACCAGAGACCAGTAAAATATACTTATATAGGACTTTCTTGCCATGGATCCTGACAAACATGGCATGATCTTAAAGATTATATACATAATTTGAATGCCAATATATAATTCTTACCGAAAACAAACACTGCTTGCAAATACCAAAATAGAAATATAGCATAAGTTAATGTAAGTACCTAGCCCTAATCCAATGCCAGCCAAAACCTCTTAATTACAACAGACCTAGTTGCAATTGTACCTATCAGTATACACATTTCACCCAAAGCATGGGCAGCTATTTTGATGTGTGCTCTTGCCTGGATGTTTATATCCACATCAGCAATGCACCCTTATCTTCCATGCAAGGTAAGTGTAACTACAGTTTCGTTTTCAAGTGAGCAGAAAAGAAATAGCTTTACATGTAAAAGCTGATTCATAGTATAGCCCCGTGGTAGATGGGGTTATATAGGAGAAGCTAATCATCGATGACTAAAGTTATCACATCAACAGGGATCAGGAAGGCAGCTTCATGTTTACCCGAGACAGGTTCACAAATGCAATCGCTGATGTTATGCTGTATAAGTAAATGTAAGGTAAAAGCAGACGTACTCCTTTGAGGAAAACTACAGAGCTACCTTGGGGACAAGGTTGTAGTGAAGCCAAAGCCTGCTTGAGCCTCATTTCAGCGATGCAACCAAGGAGCTGACTGCACTCTTGGCAACTTACAACATACCCTCTGCCCATCACCACCACAGGCACCTTGGAAGTAATAAATAATGAGAATTCCCCCCTGCTTCTGAAAAAAAATAGACAGAAATACATTCATGAACTGCAGCATTTCAATTATTGGCTGCACTGCTGTTCACCCAAGGCAACATTCATGGGGGTGCACATTGAGAACAAGAGTGCATATAAAGCCCATTCCAGCTTTTAATTGTGTGACTTAAATAGCCATCTTGGGGTTTGTTTCAGCCTTCTGGAAGCATCACAAAAGAATCCAGTAAAAAAGCAGAAGGCTTCCTACAGTTATCAAGCCTCTTTCAAGAACCGTACTTTTAACATTAAGCCTAACAGGCTTGACTGGAGCTTGATTCTCAGAAAGTGAGAGGAGGAGGGGACAGGGAAGAAGAAAATGGAAACATGACCCAGACAGCTGGTTCTGACATGTCATTAAGTGCATGGGGAAAATTGCAATCTCTCTGCCTTTGAGCACAGAGACCCACCTAGGTGGCCAGTTTCTTCTTTCTACACTACTAGGACTCATATCCTACAATCACCCTCCCTACTTCCCAGCTGACTGGGTAGTCTCTGGACCAAATCCAGTCTATGAAGCTACCCAGAGTTTCACACAAATGGAAAAGTACCTAGTATTCTCAATGGGGAGGAGAGGTTTTGCAGGATGGAGAGAATGCTCTTCTACATTTATTTATCTGTCAGCTTTATAACCTGCTTTTCCTCCTGGAGCTCAAGGGGACAATTTAATACCCTCTCTAATCTTTGTATGCAATCTTGACCAAGCTCCTACTAGGTCATCAGAAGGTCCATGTAACTAATTGGCACTGACTCTACTAGATGGATGGAGTACATATAGCCTGTTGCCTGGCTACCACATGAGCTATTCCAAAATCTTGCAAAATTCATTGATCTCCAAGGGCAAGAAAGAGCAGCCACCATTTTCCCTTTGATCATCTTTCCAAAGGGCTTGTTTGGATGAACAAATATTGAGTCAATCACTGTGTAGATGGGTTCACACATTGTTTTATGCCATGGTGTGTTTCATTTGACTTTGGCTCAGTATATTGGTGAACCTAGCCATTGCGGTGCATACAACCAAGTGTGGTTAAAACAAAGCATAGCTTAGTACAATGGGTGAATCCAACCACAAACTCTGTATTTTAATGGACGGAGGGAGGATATCATGCACCACCTGATAATTCCTACTATGCTATAGTCATTCCAAAACACAAAACAAAACTAAAAACCCTGCTGTGCTAGGGTTTGCAAACACCATCAGTAACACTCAACAAACAGCCATCAAGGCTAACAGCCAAGCAACTAGAAGGCTGTTGAATAATTCAGCTTAGCCTAGCTGCAGCTATGGAAAATGCCATACAGAATCTTAATATCACTGCTTCACACGTGCGTAGAGAAAAAACAGTGATTTCTCTCTTTCAAGGGATTTCTCACACGGATCTCTCCCCAGCCTTACCAATGCCTTCTTCCCATTTTCACAGCCTCTTCATTTTTTCCTGTACTCCATTAGTACCAAAGCATACACTGCATTAACACAAGGCCACCGCCCACACTTTTTAAAAAGATTATGCTAATCAGTCCCATCACTTTATACCATTTCTTTCATCTCAACAGCACAGGCAGTTTGCTGGCTTTTCTGAACTCCTGATGAAAAATACTGGATTGAGGACGATGTGCTACTCTTTTTGGGTCTTTCCATTTAGGTAGGCACTAGCAATTTATCAGGTACCTTAAAGACCAACTTAGTCTTCATGATGTACAATGATCAATCATGACTGAAATATGAAGGAAGTTTTCCTATGAAGGTACAGGTGGTAAGAGAGCTCTATCTTAATGAACTTCTGATATTCAACTTATTTAACGCATGTAGCGGGTCTAATAGTGAAGGATGCTGGGAACTTAATTTTTATGGTGCCAAAAAGTTACCAGTCCTGAAATAGAACAATACCTTAATTGCACTTATAAAGAATGTCCTGTCTATGGACAGCTTTTATTTAGTATTCTAAATTTAGGACCCTAATTCAGAGCTTTAACATGTGTCACCCTGTTGTTTTCTTATCTCCCTGGCTGACAGAGCCTAAGGAATGTGTCCTTTTGAGACAGTGTGTCCTCCTCAAAAAGTGGGCAAAGAAACGCACAAACCCCGCCCAGAAAATAATGCCCTTCTAGAACACGTGTTCTTATCTTTGAGCTGGCAGTTCTAGGGTTAATGAGATGCCTTTCAACAATTGTCAAAACTTCTTATTCCCTAGGATGCCTTTTTCCATGGCCCTCGATTATAACCTAATCCTCCATTGCTCTGGTTATTTCCTTTTTCTTTGGTTTGCATAGGCTGAATTGCAGGGTGTTTTTCATCCCCAGGAAGAGTCAAATGTAAAGCTGTCCTCTGCAAGGGAAATGAGACCACTCTAGGAACTGTAATGATGAGAGAGTTCTTGGGCCATTAAAAAAAAAAAAATAACAGGAAATACATTATGGGTGTGAGGACAGACAAACATCTCCAGTAGGTAATTGTATAGCACAGAGGACCTGTTAGACTGGAATGATACCAGATTTTTAACAGCTAGTTTATAAAGTGCCTGAAAATATTTAAACATCTGAAGGAGGATCATAATGCCAATGGAACATAAACATTACACACTACTGCTATCAGTACAACAAATATATGATTATTTGCTGTTGAGAACCATTAGGGTAGCACAACGTGCAGATAAAACAGAGAAGTCAGTGGTATAATGTTTCCACTCAGGAACATGAAAAAATAAGACCTGTTTCGGCTGGAATCATTTCTATTCACCAAAGGTCTTCATCTGTTTCTATATCCAAAATACTAACTTGATTACTTACAACATTTGGACTCAGAGATCACAATGACTGATCACTCAATAGTCTAGTTACTGGCATATCTTCCACAGTGAGTTGTTACCGAGCTTGGCAACACATGAACATTTTTACCTAGTCTCTTTTACACCTTAGCTTATCCATTGACCAGGCTTAATGAGTTGGTAAGCCTCCATTTGTCATGCTATTCCCCCATTGCTGAACAGCAGCAGTTCAGGTGAAAATTACAAGCCAACAAAAGAAGACCAAAATAAATATATCATGAAATCTCTCCCTTCCCACTCCAATTTTTCCCCATTTCTTTTCTTATTTTTTAAAAAAGGAGGACTGGATCAATTGCTCTATGATAACTTAACTAGGCAAATGCAAGTTAGAAGCCAAAACATTTCCAACAACCTGTACAGAAACAACAAAATTTACAACTGAAAAATGTCACTAACACCCATTCAGGCAGATGTGTTAATTTTTGTTTGTTTCGCAAAGGACAGGTTATCAGAGAGAGAGAATGGTATGTGATCCTCCAGCCTGCCTTAGTTTCCTTAAGTAACCTTCTGCTTGATGCTGGGAGTTTCAGGTCGATAGTCCTTCCTTTCAGAAATGTTACGCTTCACCTTGGCACTAACAGGAGACTCCTGATTTAATGAGGGGCTGGAGTGGCATTTCTTCAGTCCAGGGCCATCATTCTCACTGCTACTCAGCAACTCCTTTCCTGCTCCTTTGAGCAGAGACACGTAGATTTCATAGCGAGTTTTCTGGAAAAAAGAAAAAGTCTCAGTCTATTGTATCACTTCTACGATGTATGCTGGAAATCAGTCTTGACAAGTTCATCAGAGAAGACACATAGCAAGTAAATCAGCAGAGCAGTGTTACTTTGTGGGTAGCAAGGGTATTCAGAATTAATACTTAAATTTCTTGTAAACTGAAAACTGAAGGAAATGTGTTGGTTCTTTCTCAGGAGAAGCATTTGAACTTTGAATGTTGTACTTTGAAAGGACATCTTTCAAGAATCTTGTCTAAAGTAGTGGATTCCAGAGTGTGAAACAACTCCTCACATTTAGTAAGGATCTTCAGTCTACCTACAAGACTTGGGTAAGCTGAAGACCCTCAAGCAGAGGATCCTTATTGCTGCTCCACATGGTCCTCTCCCATACTTGCCCCTTTATTCCAACTTGATTTGGAGAAAATTATACTTTCTGAAAACAATAGAATCCCCCTCATTTTATGCCCACCTGATCACTACAATCATGTGAAAAAGAAAGTATACCCTCTTTGAGTTCTAGGGTTTTACGTATCAGGACATAATAAAAATCATTTGGTCCTTAGCAGTTCTCAAAAGTAGGTAAATACAACCTCAGATGAACAACAGAGGAAGGTCAGCCTGAGAGAGAGTGATTGACCAGAGACCCACCAGGATGTTAACTACTACACATCCTCTCCAGTTCAGACTGTTACCAACAAACCCACAAACTGAGCTACATAATTTGTGGTGACCCAAATTCATCAGCAGCTTAGTCTGCATATAAACGGTTCCTTGGGGACTAAAACATTGAAAACAACTGCTCTAGAAAAGTATGGCATAGCACTGCCTATAATTTAGTTCAACTCCAGAACCTAGACTGTACTCCCTATAGTAGTCAGGCTTGTAGGAACTCTTGCTGCCATCCAGGTATGCCACCCACTCCTGTTGTCCCATCCCTAGTCGCATGCAGGTTGTTCCTGGTAATTCAAGTGAGTAAGATGTTACAGGAGCTACCTGTACAGATTAATCCTATAAAGAATGTAGGCAATGCCAATACCAAG